AGAGAGAGAGAGAGAGAGAGAGAGAGAGAGAGAGAGAGAGAGAGAGAAGACAGAGAAAGAAAGAGGAAAAGAAAGAAATCAAAGGAAAGAAAAAGAGGAATAGAGAGATGAACGAAAGGAGAGAAACGGAATGGAGGAAGAAAGAGAGTGAAGGGGATATGTCGAAGAGAAGAGGGAGTTAGAAGGGAAAACGAGTCTGCGCCATGCCACGAATGTAATCGCAGTTGTGGTCGACGAAAGATTCATGATCAAGATGCGATCGCGACGCGAGATCGAACTCGCGAGGATTCCCAAACTCGCTTGAATCAACAATTCCGCCCTTCGGAATGTCGTGTCTTTTGGCGTTTTAACCACGTTTCTCGAGAATCAAATAATCAGAATATCGCGCTTTAGCCTTTATTTATAGCATTTTGGAGCACTCGGTCACGCACATGCAATTGTAATACGATATATTTTCGAACGTTACGTCTTATTGTCTTTTGGAATATCGTATTCTTAGAATGTCTATTTCCATAACGCCGAATTTTTCACAAAATCATACTTCAACCTCCGAATAACGTTTTTGGAGCATTTCACATTCATATTCATAAACGTCTCATTTTCAAATAAGTTGTTAATAATCCGATTCTTTTTTTAACTTTAATATTCTATCACATTAAATCAAAAATATTGAAATGTCGTGGAATTATCGATAAAGATTGCAAATCGCTAAAAGATGATAAAAATGACTTTTTGGGCGAATCTAATAACACGTCTGTTTTTAAATGACTTATATCGCTGGCAAATATACATGAAAATTTCGCATAAGGCAGATCCGAAGGTGAACGACTGAAAAAAAGCGTGACGGAGCAGCGAACGTGAACCGGACCTATCATCTGTACGCGCTAACATCCGAAATAAATAACGTCCTTCAGGAGCGGCTGAGCGTCAGAACCAGTCGAGACGTGTGACATTCCAGAAAATTACTGATCCAGACTCCTGTACCAATCGTGCAATATTTACATAAAAATATAAGTTCGATTAGATAGATTGCGTTCATTGATACATTAATGTCCGTTTCTACCAATATATAGATTAACTTTAATCTCAGTTTAACTTACTTCTTGTTTTTTTATTTTATTTTATTTTAAGAATGAGAAAAATATAAAGTAAGTTATAAACTGATGAGATTGAAGTTAATCCGCATTGGTAAAAATGGACATAAATACAATAGAATTTAAGTATATTATATGATAATGACTACTTCAATATTATCGAGAACTGAAAATCAAAATATTAGAATTTATATAATCGGTACTTGTGACTTTTTATTTTGATTATAAATCCAAAAATAACAATAAAACGAGAGCTTAAGATGTTCAAAAGTATTGTTTAAAGGTTGAAATATTGTTCTCAAAGATTTCAGTTGCTGATTTCAATCGGCTTATATTACAAGATATTGTGATTACTGAGAAGTTTCCAAGAGAAATTTATATTTCGGAACATAATATCTCTCTGCTACTGACTATATATATACTGTATACGTATAGTCGATATGTATATACAAATATTTGTATCGAACAAGTTATCGACACGTATCGTGATAACATGACAAAAAACATATGTAAGTACGTGCTTCGAAATATGAAGCACGCGTTTCATAATGAAAACAAAACATCTTTCATGTCAAACATGGAGTATTTTATTGCGTTAAAGTAAATATCTTTGCTTTCTTCTTTTATTACAAAATTATTTACAATTTTCTTATTTAAATGACCCAATATTTACTTTCACTCATATCCTGCTTAATTCTTTAATTAAAATATCAAATCCTTATCTCCTGGATAACCGATAAAACATGCATCCAGGCTCTAGTTTATAAAATAATCTTCGACAATATAAATTAAAATATGTAAATATACGCTTATCTGTATATTTTCTAAAAAATCATCACGTATGTCTATAATTATCTTTGGAAAATTTACATTATCTTTTTATAATGTCTTATAACTTCCCAAAATCAAATAAACGTTTAATTGCTCCGTGATTTAGGAATTTCAAGTATCAAATCGAGTTCCTACGTGCCTGTTATCGTTACTCTGACAGGATTATCGAATACAATCAAAGCGAACCTATCAAAAGTATTCGCGAATTCCGTTCGACTTTTGCCCATAACCCGCAGAGAGGTCCTTCGAGGCGAGATCGAGAGGCAGAGGCCCTGCGCTGCGCGAGATGAAAGCGCGCGCGCTTCGGAGCACGGAGTCTGCGCGAAGCGAAAGAACTCACCTTTTGGGGTTGACACGCGCACTTCCGCCGCCGACGCGAACAACGGAAACGCGTGCCGGAAGCCGCGTGGCGGTGGGAAGCGCGGTACGAGGAGCGGAATTACGAGCACACGCACGGCTGGAGGGAAAGGAGATGTGCGGATGCGGCGCGATGCAGCGCGAGTATAACACGTACGTTTACACGCGGCGCGCAACAACGTGCCTTACCTCGAGAGCGGCCGTCGCGACACTGAACGTGCCGCAGACACCTGTCGCCGTCGACCGACAGTGCCGCCGCCGAGCGGTCGAACCCCTCTCTCGTTCACGTGGTATACGCACCCCGAAACACTGATGTTCGAATAACACATGATCTTCACGAACCATAAATCTATACGATTTTTCTGGAATTTATCGCATTTATAAATGGAACTATTAAAAAAATATTCAAAATTTTTTTGAATAATTATTTTGTGCATGACTGCTTTATAGGCGTTTCAAAAAGGAGTTATTTTTGTTTCAAACAGCAATCGTAGAGAACAATGTTTAGTAACTTTATCTTACTTTACATAAGGTATGCGTTATTCAAACTTTTATTTTAATTTGTTATCAGTACATTATCAGTACGTAATCAAAAACTTTTATTAGCTCAATTCTATTATTTTGTTTTAAAAGAATTCTTTAGAAATGCAAGTCAGTCTCGTAAAATGTAGGCGCCAAGCAATTTGCGCGACGAGTAAGTTACAAATTTTAGATGGTTCGCTAAAAACGAGTAAAAAATTATAATTTTAAACGTAATTAACATTCAATTGTTATGTCAGATAAATGTCACGTATTTTACAAATTCTAAATTAAAGCTTTCAATTTTTAGGATTTAAAACTGTAAATATATGTAAAAATTACTTGAATGAAATATAATTTTTACATTATTAATTAATTTATGTTTAGCACATATATTGTATAATACATTATTTTATTAATAATCGCTAAACTGAAAAAAGAACTATTTGAATTATTGTCATACGAGATAATAATCTGAGGATAAAACAAGCTGAGATGATTGCATACTAAAAAAATAATCAGCAATGTGAAAAAATATGGAAATATAAGCGCGGTTGTACATATCTCTGCGTACTGCGACGAGTCCCCGTAGGGATCTCGAGCAGCATAAAAGGGGACGCTGTGAGCCCATAGAAACGTGATGGAGGGGTTCATTGTGCGGGAGAGTGCTAATGCTATCGTGCCACTCACAAGGGTAGTTCACACAATGGCGCAAAAATATAAGTGACTTCTGCATAATTTTGAGCGAAGTGATCAATTAGTCACGATACGTTATATCTCGTATTAAATATTACTCATTAACGTGCAGTTGAATCGCAGAATCGCTTTAAAAGCCAAGACTAATTGAGGATACATATATAATTCCAATAAAAAATGACCACCTTTAATAGATTTTGAATATGTGTGTGTGAATGCGTAATTAATTAAATTCTCCATCAAAGCGCAAAGGAATTTTATATCAAATTTTAAGGAATATGATAAAAATATAATAACTTTTAATAGTTTTTAACAAATGCAATAATTATATTTATTTATGACAAAAATTAATAATATTGGAGGTGAGAAATTATGACAATGTCATAGTGAATAATTGTGAACCGAAACGCAATATGCGAAGGGCGCGGTATGGAAGCACTCAAGCAAGGTTCCTTTGTTTGCTACCGCTTCGTGCACAATACGAAAAATTGCAAGAGGGTAGCAAGGAGCTTTTCGTGCATCCCTCACTAGAGACAATAATGTCGCGCGCATTTCCACTTCTCTTGATCTCATCTGCTTTCTCGTAGGGCTTTGTTAGGAGAATTTCTCGATAGTCATGCCGAGCTATCCGTTTATGTATGACTACAGTGTATTGCACGCCAAAACGAGAGCATTAGAATAGTAAATACAAATGCACAATTTAAAAAGGGAAATACATTTTTCGTATTTTTCTGTCAGCGAAATTGTCTGTAAATTTATTCCATCTACTTAAGAAAATTCTTATCATTTAAAATTTAAACGGATAAACATCATTTTACCGAGAATTCTTTTACAAAACATTTTTATACGTTTTCCTTAGTGTTTAGTTTTAAATGAACTTAAATGTCAAATGAAAGGATTTAATAAAAATTTCAAAAAATTATGTAAGAAACAGGACAATAGTGCGAATTAAAAAAAGAAAAATATTTAACTCCGCAAAATATTACCATTTTTTTAAATTTTATTATTTGTATTATATTATAATTTATAACAATATGTGTACACAACTTAAATAAATTTTTGATTTTTTTTCTTTAATTTAATATTGCGTTTATATAGATATATTTTTAAATTTTATTGTTATATTTACTTTTATATTTGTTTTGTTACGTTTCTTGCTTATATACAGACTGCTTATATACAGAATAATATTAATTATAATAGCAAATATTACAATATACATCTCGCTACTTGAAGAAAAAACTACTGACACGTTAACATGCAATAAAAATGCATAACAAAACTCACCGGAATGTAGCCATCAGGTTGAATCCTTTTATTGTCTCTGAAAAGAGAAAAATATTAAATGATTTGCGCAGCTGCTAAATTATATGTATAATACATATACAATATGCAATTTATCCGTTAAACTGTTTTATATTTTTTTTTATAAAACATACCGATTTCTTCGTTGAATTACTGGTGTTTTTGGCGTGCTATCATGAATAATGACCTGAGTTGCATCTATTTCTTCACACTCTGAATTGTCTTCGGAAGAGTCTGCAATAATACATATACAATATTTACATTTTAACATATGTGATAAAATATTCTAACATACATTTTTCTATAGATAAAACTTTATTTATTTACTTTTATTTACGTTATTACATAGCAAACTCAAAAATATAAAAAAATTAATAAAATTTTATTAATAAAACTATAGTTAAACTTTACTACTTATGCATATGGAAATATTATAAATTTAACTTAAGTATTATGAATACATCTTTCCAAATTGCTTTACGCATATTTTTCACAGAGATTTTAATTTTCCATAGATTCTCGTTTTCAAACAATGCGTCGACAATTTATCTTTTTGTCAACCAATTAAAAGAAAGAATATTACACAACAAATTTCAATTGTTTATTTCCGGATCCACTTTGTTGAGCTCCATGCGATACATCGGATAATCCGACTGATATTATGTAAACTAGGTATACGATAGTATCGATCGCTAAGTGACGCTAAATTCATTCCCGTCTCACCCTCTTCGACGCGTTCCTGTTTATGAATACGGGAGAGAACAGGGCTGTGGCACAGAACAGCTGTATCACCGAGCACGTGATCGATGTCAGTATCCTCGCCAATAAATAACGGCAACGTAGAAGGTCGTTTCCGGGGTGGCAATCTTCGGGGTGCCGGTTTCACATTGTCGTAAGGAGATTTTCGTCCATAATTGTCCGGCGGATCAGGTGGATTCTCTACCTGCAACAGGGATAACTAACTCAAATACCCTATGGTAATTATTTTGCTCTCTCATATTATTGATGGTTTCTTTTTTGGAAAATATGCTTGAAAATAGTAGTATAATGTTGGTATAGATAACATTGTTAAATTATTATTATTATTATTAACAAATAATAATGAAGAAAGAAAAAAAAGAGAGTAAAGGAATAAGGCAAAATTCAATATAGTTAATGCTATTTTTATTATGCGATTGATTATCCACATTTGTCAACTGTTTTATTTTCAAATATTTTAAATTTTATTACTCAATATTGCTCAATATATTTTAAAGAATTTAATTGTTTAGAAATTGTTTATGAGAAAATAATAAAAAAATATATTAATCTTTTATTTTTCTTATTTTAGTAATTTGCATCGTACGTAATAATATTTTATCAATATGGCTTCGTAAACTTATCCGTCTTTTATTTGGATCATTCTTTCACAATTAGAGAGATTCATTAGATTGTATAAAATCATTATCAGCCTGACGTATAAGACCAAACGTTACGTAATATGATGATCAATCTTACCCCTTCTGGACTAGCACGATCTCCCAAGGGCTCGGATGGTGGCGGCGGAAATTCGATAGGAAATCTAGAGAGGCTTCTCTTGACACACGTCTCAGGTTCAGGGTTAACGCCGATATCGATCTTCTCGTATGACTCGGAGGAGTCGGAAGTGCTGTTGGGAATTTCCACGGGAATTCTGACGACCCCGTCAGGAACGTTGGAGGAGCTGTCCATCCACCATGCCTTCTCCCCGGATTCGACATGTCGGATTTTCTTAAGCGGCTTCGAAGAGTAAAGGCTCTCGTTATCGACAGGGTTGTCGGTACTTTGACTATCGGCAGACGCCACCGGGATGACCTCGATGCCCTCCGGAACGTTCTCGGGGTCGTCACTCATCCACCACGCTCGTTCGCCGGACTGCTGATGCCTGATGCGATTTCGTCGATCAACTGATCGAATACTGCCTCGACTGGAGCCCCGTCTCGAAATAGGGGATACCGGCGAGGGTGATTTTTTCGCTTCTTCCGCTGCAACGTCGTCCAACCACCAGGCATATTCTTCTGATCCTTGTCGCCAAATTCTGAGTTTATATTTTCCTAGCAACACACGCAAGAAATAAGATAACAGACGCAAGGATTAAATAGACCTTTCTGAATTAAAAAGACTGAAAATTATAAATAATTTATAAAAAATTATAATGATCTGTTCTTCTTGAATTAAAGTAATAATAGTTTATATTCTCAAAATAATAATAATAATTTGTACTTTTATTGTACAAGTGACTTTACAAAATGTGAATATAAACTAAGCACACAGCATTATATATATTATATAATATTTAAATGTATAATACATATGTTTATACTTAATATATATGTATATGCAGTATATTAAAAGATTAACTTACCATCATCCGGTAAGGCTGTGCTGATTGTTGTTTCCTGACTAACATCATTATTCCATGGACTAGCCCTTTGAATCCCCTCGGGAATGTTATCGGAATTTGGATCCAACCACCATGGTTTTTCGTCCGAAGACTGACGCTGAATCTTTATATTATTTCCCCTTATTCCGTCGCTTCTCTGAGAATTACTGAAACTAGGACCTTTTGACAGATTCTGACTGACTGATCTCGAAGATGATAGCGGCTGTCCTGACTTGTTACTGGCTTCGTGGTTTTCCTCAAAGGAGTCAACCCAACCATCTGATTTACTTGTATCATCGGAATCTTGATTCTTGTTCTTAAAGAAATTCGTCATTGGCGCCAGCGCTCTCATCAGGAAGGACTTGGCCTCTTCCGTCTTCGCGGAACGATCACTCTTAGATCTTGGACTAGAGGGTGGCCTAGGTGGTTTCTCCGTCATCATTGACATATCATCGGCCGACGACGCCAATACGCTCGTCCTCGACGATCCCGCACTGATTTTACCTTTTACTTCGCGCGCGGGCGATTCTAACGTTCTCTTTCTTCTCCGTCTCGAACCCGTCTTGTCCGTACGATCGTCATCATCCTCGCTGCTGGAGGAATTCGCAGAGGTCGACTGACTATTGCTGGAACTGAATGTCCCAGATGGCCTCTTTTTTGTTCCGCAAGGTGACTTTGACCCGCTTTTCGTTTCTTCCCATTTCGGTGAACTATTCGAGCCGTTCCTCCCAAGCATTGGCTTCGATTCTCCCGACGGAGTCCTGAACCTCGATCGACCGGACTTCGTTGAGGTGAAGGATCCCGAAGAAACTGCTTGGGGAACATGCCGTTCCGATGCCGTTTCGAAATCCTGAGCGCTGACAGAAATGTTTCTTTGACTTTTCTTTCTTCTCGCGTACTTGGAGCACAAGTCACCGTTCTCCATGTTCAAGGTCGACTTGCGGAAGTCCTTGTTCACGTACTTCGTTGCCACGGTACACTTCGGCGTGGCGGCGGTCGTAGTATCATTTTTCGGCACAGGTGGTTTGCCGCGCGCGTCCGGCGAACCGCCTTGTCGTAGATTCACTGACGGCAGGATCGAACCGGCCGATGATTTCCCGGACGATGGCGGCGTTGTCGTTTTTATTTTTATACCCTGACTCGTCACCGAACTAGCGGACGATGATTTCGATCTGCCAATTGGCATGCTTACAGAAGATCCGTCTGACGAGCCGGTTCGCGTCATTTGACGCGGCGTATTCTTCGTCGATACGTTCCGAGTCTGCGATGTTGATGCCGAGCGACTTTGCGAAGAACCGCTTTCAATGAAAAATATTAATTAACTCAAGAACACATTTAACCTTTCAGTATATATCAGTTAAGTCTTTTTAAGGATTATGGATTTTTTTCTATCTTTTACATTAAATATAATAAGTATAATAACAGATATATGCTGCACAGTTCTTGCACAATTTAGTATAATTTGTATAAAATTATTTCCGAAAATTTTTATATATTTTATAAAGTATTTTTTGCCAAAAATTTCATTTATTAAATATTAAAAATTAGCCTAAAGTTTATCTTCTAAACTTGAGATATTAGATAATGTAATTTATTAAAATGCCAATGCATTCGGATAAGTTGCAATTGATTTTGTTATGTTCTTTATTTGGATTATGTAGGTATATCCAATAAATTACTTTACTAGAAAACAGATTACGTACCTCGATGTCGAATCTTTTCTTTGCGAAACATCACGCTTTTGAGAAATAGTTTCTTCATTTTGGTCTTGACAATGCCCTTCGACAATTCGAAGAGACTCTCCGGTTCTAGAAGAGGAGCTGGCATCCGATTTCGGAGTGGATCCTCTTCTTTCGCTGTATGCATCGGATTTCGATGATGTTATTTCAGTCTTTGAAGAACATTTAGGAATTTTTACATCATTCTTTGAAGAAGTACGTTCCAGTCGCGGAATGAACGGTCTTCTTTGGTTATAATCGTCACATCTCGATGCATTCTGCGTATCCTGCGTTGAATCTTCTCTGCGATAAAATGCAAGATTCTGATTGGAGCTTCTTAAATTACTTAAATTACTGTTTCCGTGTGTTTCAATCTTTCGTGCACCACAGCAACATCGTTCGCTACCGTGAATTCTGTCTTCTTTATTTACGCAATGAATATCTTGACCGCTTGACGATGTCTTCGAGTCATTGGACGCTGTCTCGTCGTTAGTTGTTGTGCAATTCAAACCGAGAAGTTTCTCATTTTGACTTTTAGTATCAGAACCACAAATTTCTCTGGCAGAAGATTCACTTTTCGTAGTTGCTGATGCTTCATTCGTTCTCGTATACGCGAAGTTGTTAAGTCTACTAGAAGAGCTCGCATTAGTAAATCCTCTGGACGAATATATAGATGGACTTCCAGCTGATGATGCACCTGAGTATTTATCCAAGTACGTCGACCAGGGTGCACCAGATACTCTATTGCTGCCATACCTCGAGAATCTTGATGTTTCTTCCATTTGATCACACTGTACCTCTTCATCCACAGTATTCGGCAATTTTCGAAATCTAATCACTTCTTTTTGATGAACAACATTGATCTCCGCTCGCCTGTTTCTGACATAAGACGAAGAAGCTGGAGGTGTCGGTGAAGTACTTCTTGTCACCACCGTTAGCGTCACAAACTCGTTGTCCGGAAGTTTATTGTTAGTTTCGTTCTCTTCTACTCGGTTTGTAATTTTTGACAACTCGTGGTGACCATCTTTGTCAGATTTTACAGTAAGCCTTGACTCTTCTTCTTCTTCTTCTTCTTCTTCTTTCTGATTAGTCGATTTACTGTTCAAATTTCGAAATCTTCCTCCTGCGGGATAGTTTACACTTGTGGACACTCGTTCGTTGCCACTTCGCGATGAAAGAAATCGCGAGCCAGCTGTCGAGCCAAATCTCGTCGAGATTGTAGCCGAGCTCGATTCGGACGTGCCTAAAAAGTGTAGAAAGTTCTTGTAACATTAGTTGTTTATTTGCACAAGATTTGAAACGTAAGAATACTAATGATTAAGAATTTTAAATAATTGTAGAACAGCACAAAGCACTATTCATTATCAGGATTTGGCGTAATTAAATATGCTTTTAAAGTTTATGTTGAATTATAAAGTTTTGTAAAGATAGTTTTAAAAACATATTTTAATTAAAAAATTCTATATTTTAGATTTATAAATGTATAAGTAATAATAATAATAATAAATATTTAAAGAAAATATTTTTTTAATATTTTTTAATTTATTATATAATACATAATAAAATAGTCGCACTTACTAGGCGAAGCAGCTGAACGACCGTAAGACGGCGCTCTTGAATAGACCCTGTAGGAATTCGTTTTTCCGACACTGACTTCCGGACTGGGCTCGCGCGATGTTTTTCCGGAATTGGAACGTAATCCTCTGTAGGAGACTGGCGGATGGTCCTTCTTTTCGATTCTACCATCGTTGCCGTAACTTCGGGCGAAACTCGATCCGGGATATGTGCTGGATCCGTACCTCGATATTCCTTCGGGCTCTCTGCTCTTTTCCCGCGAAGCCGGTCGGTTATATCTGTCCAACACGGAAGACGGCCTCTCCGATGTTTTGCCAGCTGAGAACGAGTACTTCTCAAGGAGAGACGACCTACTATCAGATAGCGGACTTTTCGCCCTCACGTCTTCAGACGACGATCTTCCGGGATGCAATCGACTTTTATCGGTGTCTTTAGTGCCTATATGATAATTTAAGAAAAATTGTGACGTTACTTTTTTTGGAAAAATAATATATGAATATATGCATTTTGTTATTACATTGCTAATTGTAATTATAGAGATAAGTCTATACAATTAGACTGCTGACACTAACACATAATAATATTGGATAATCAAAGTATTGTATAATGCGAATATTGCAAACAAACTTAATTTATTTATTAATTATTGTTTCTATATATGATTTCTAGAACAAGTATGCTATTTAAAAGAAAATAAACTAAATGTTTTCCAAAATATATTTATCATCTAAATATAATTTATAAATAGACGATTTTATTTATAACACTATGTTAAAATAAATTAAGAAACAATATTAAATATAAATAAGTTTTTAAATATAAGTGTTATAATATACATATACATTTCCTTTAGATTACATTAATAATAAATATATAAATAATATAGAATATCAATACAAAATATTGCAAACGAACAAACATCTCACATGAATATTTGAATGCCGGTTTTTCCTCGAATTTATCTTTTTTAAGAAAAGTGCCTCCAAAACCAGCAAGCGCCCGTTCCTTGGCAATAGCTCGAGCAGAACTCGATCCGACTCCGGAATAACTGCTTCTACAGCTTGGCAGGTTACTTCCACCGGAAGCATTCCTACCGAATGTGCTAGCGATGCCGACGCCGGTTCTGCTTCTATATGCTCCTACATCACCCTGTAATCAGAAATGAAAAGCATATACTGCACAATTTTTTGATTATTTTGGTTTTGTAAATGAAATTATGCAGCTTGTATTATCAGAGTTATAAATAAATCGTTAATTCATATAGCTAAACTGTTAAAATATTACCTTAAAAATATAATTTTATTTAAAAAGTTTCTAAAATGTTACTTAAATAATATTTACGTATTTATTGCAATGTTGTATAACTAAATTGTTCAAGTTATATATATTATTGATATCTCGCGATACATTATTGATCATTACGATGACAAGATTTATCAGTCACTTCTTGCATTTACAGTAACGAGAAGGGGTCGGACGTTAAGCCAATAAGACACTCACAAAAAATAAGGGCTGTGGGTGTTCCAGGATATTAAAGATAATGAGGATAATACGGATAATGCGTAGTTTGCATTACCGAGAAGACGCATCTGATGAATGTCTTCATCAAGAACCTTTTTGCTCGATAAATAAAAATAAATCTAATTTAATGTATCATTACTCGTAAAACGATATAAATATAAATACAACCTGAATGTTATCTCAAGTTTCTCAGTATTATTACCTACTATTATAAAATGCTATAATTCTCATTTGAATTTGGTTCATTCATTTGAAGACCAGAAAGACAATCAAATAAAAAACAATTTATGCAAAGCTTCAATTTCCATAACTGCATATTGAAACGATTAAGTTATTATTAATTTATTTTATTCCCTTATCGAAAACTTTTTATATTATTGATTATTTAAATATCTAACTGGAAATAAAATATAGATAAAAAGGAAGAAATTAGGAGAACAGTAAATTATTTCTGCGATATTTAAAACAGATTATTAAATACATTATTTGAAAATGTATGAAAATAAAAAATAATAATTCGTAATTAATATAAGCTTGGCAAAATGCCCTCAATCTCAAAATAGGTAGATCGACCTGGCAGAGAGTAATAACCTTTGCATTCAACGGGTGGCGCAAATAAAGGCCTATATTTCGTCAAAAGCTAAACTGAATTGTAAATATATGGAATTCTGTATTTTTTAAATTACATTCGTTATATTTTTATCAGGAGCAGTGCAGCAAATAATTGTTTCCGGTTTCAATTTCACTTTAAACTAAGTTGAAAATAGCAAAAACCCGCGATAATGCACTTATAGAGAAACTTTCGACTTGTTTTCCGAACTGGGTCTTCTAAAAAGACTGTTCATTATTATGCTAATGGTATTCGGTGATATAATAGAATTACGACAGTCGTTCCTTAAGACCGCCAAAGCAAGTCCTTCGAGCGGAAGCACTGCACGACGTCGGAAACGATAAGTCCTTTCATCACGTTATATCTAACCCCATTATCACGTTTACGCGGATTTAAGGTACAAGAGATATAATGACCTGTTCCTTTTCATTTCAAAAATAAATTTAACTCTATTACATAAAGCACAAATACTTTGTAAAGAAATTTACGTTCCAAAAGTGTTGATTATAAATAAAAACATAAAAATGATATAAGAATTATGACAAAAGTTATATAATATTAGCTAGAATATTTAAATATAGAGAAACGACTAATAATGCATATATTTGTTAAAAATTTATTTAAAAATTTATTTTATAAGAATTGAAATTTTGGGACTTACAGATTTTTTACATTTTTTTAAACTTTGGTTATTTATAAATATTAATGCTTAATATTATAACCACAATGTACAGATATCTTTCTATTTCTATTTTAGTTATCAAAGTGACTTCTGGCATTTGTCCATGATGCTTTTAGATTTATTTAGAGCTTTGCCAGAAAATTAACTGTTACGATTATCCATTATCAGATTTTATACCTCTAGAAATTACACAAAATGAAAAAATATTTAATATAAAATCTTTCATGATTCTCTCAAAATATTTTAGTTTTTAATTATTTTCAGATTGTTTTATTACTTTTTTATTTATATTATAGTGATATCCGATTTATTTTTTCTGCATTGTACAAAGCAGTAATAGAACTTACCCGTTATACTCTCCCTTTATCTCTTTATTGATGAGATTGAGAATTTTCACGAGAAAATGTTGCAAACGTGCATGACTTTTTATCTATTGCGTTTTTGTATTTATTTATAAAAATTTAAACTGAAATAACAATTCGCGGAAGATACAATATCTATTATTTTTTTTAAATAACTGTTGCACCGTTAAAATAGAACAATACTGTAAAAATATATTCAGTACATCACTATTTTTCGAAATATAAATTACAAAAATAACTTTGTAGTCATTCTTGGCTATTATTAAAGAAATTATTTTTACAAGAAATGCATAATAATTTTATTATTTTTTATATAAATGACATATTTTTTAAATACATATATCTAACTTGTCAAAGAGAGTCAATAATAATAATCAAACGGAACCGTTATAATATATAATCAATTAAGGAGAAAAACACCATTTACGGTCCGGACTGGATCTTGGTAGTCTAATAATGATGTAATGTGAATAGTTTTTTTCAAAATTCAACCGATTTTTTATCAGTCTTTAAAATACAACTCTTTTGTTGAAACAATAAATCAATATAAGTATTTAAATTGATAAATCAATTTAAATGTTAAATAAGCATCCTTATAAAATCATTGTAAAAAATTTATTGCGAGAAATATTATCCCAGCCAGGGTTCGAACTTCCTTGGAAAAAGAGTTAATATATTTGTAAGATATAAAATGTGTACTTTTATGCATATATTACATGCTTTAGTCATCATATATTATACGCTTTAAGGATCGACTGTTTATGGAAGAATTTTAACAGAAATATGAAACGTGCATTAACGCCGGCGTCCGTTTATGCAGAGACTTTTACGCTGTATGCGCGATAAAAACTGTACCGCGTTGCAAAATCTGCGTTCGACCATTGTGCAGAAATATACGTCACGAAATATCCGTCTACACTCGCGGCTCGAAAATGTCCAAGTTTACGTGAATACAAGCGCAAGAGGAACGGCTGTTCAGCCATCTGGAAGCCCGACGCGATATCGCACCATCGTCGCACACGGAGGAGTACGTACAAATAACGCGCAATTGCATATTACATGAAATATATGAGAGTAACAATGTCGCGATATGTTTTGATATTTGCATTTACTTCTATCCATATGTACAGTATTGATCGTTAAATGTTATCATTTTTGCACGTTATACCTTCTCGTCTCGACTCGAGAGTCAAGTCAGAATATATTTTCACGAAAGAGTTAAAAAGGAGATATTTTTCGCATTTTTATTTTCTTACCGTAAAATTGAAATTTAAATCATGTTTGCATATATTTTGTAAAATAAAAGTAAATATAAATAAAATATCAAAGATAGTAAAATAGAAAAAGCAACCCCAGTGTACTAGAAAAATGTTAGGTAGAGTATTTGTATAAAATAAACAATTAAATCTGCACGTTTAACAAATATGTAAAATAGATCATATCTAAAGATAGTTAATTACGTTCTTTCATTATTTTTAATTAAATTTAATTGATTTTTTGTTTCTAAAAATTTTGAAAAAAATGTTTGCGTATGTTTATTTGGAATAACGCTTTATATTTCAAATATTTTTAATATAGAATATTTATCTATATTTAGAATATAAATTACCATACAAATACAGCTGTTTTGTCTAATTAATTGCTTAAAGAAACTGAACCAAAAGTCAGATTTTTGAAAAATTATATGTTATATAATAATATTAGATATATATAAATATTATTTATTTATTTATTTGAATAAGATGTAAATATAAATGCAATGTAATTCAATTCTAGTAAGATGTTTAAAGCTGGATTCTTATGCTGCTTTGAACATAAATGGCTCAAATATGTGAGCATGTGAGCTATGAATGTCTTTTCTTCCCGTGACTTAGCACGTTGATGCTTCAAGTGCTGCACTTGTTTAAAAGAAGTATTCAGGCTTACGAAAGACTAAACGTTTTATTCGCGATGATTCGGTACATTCTCGATGACACTGATGAGGATGTGGGCGACCGATGCATCGTGGTATCAGCTTGAGGGGAGACCAGATAATTGAAGAGTGTCAGCCTGATTTAACCTCCGGCGACTCGGTGCATTATTATAATTTATGACGCACGACCAGCTGTCACAAGCTCGATAGGACGAAAATGTTGCTTAATTGTATTCTTAACTTCTATTCTTAAATATAGTTGAATTGCCATTGATCTTTCTGGACCACCCGTTATAACTAATTTAAAATTTATTTGACACTCAATCATGGCCATTAAAATAATTTTATTTTTGATAAGATTTATCTTTTATATTGTTCAATTTAATCTTTCCATAAAATAAAAAGTTTAACAAAATTGTATTAAATTGTATGTTGTATTTCCGAATACTTGGATGGCAATTTTTATATGTTTCGGATTTAATTAAATTTAATATTGTTCTAACATAATTATATCGATATTAGCTATTTTTACTAATTAATTTGCAGCTTTACAATTATTTTATGAATTATTTAATAGAGAAAGCTGACTTCACCATAAGAGAACATGTAGTTTTCATTAGTTATCGTACGAGAAAGCAAATTAGGTTGCTGTTCACGACGGCGGTCTGTTATTTTACGATTCGCACATTGGGCACACGCCAAGATTTTTGGCACGTCACGAATCGAGGAAGCGATTTCAGGGAGCCTCGCCACACGTGCAAACACGTGATGCTTTTAGAAACGACATTTTAAAAGTAAATTCTACATGATAGTCATGATACCAACTTTTTCGACGAAAAGATTATTGACTTTTTAACGTTAATTAAATTATATGTTACATTCTGACGTTTTAAAATTATACCTATGCTTATTATATATTTTACGTTAAATTCGACATTTGACTGTGTTAGTACAAATGGATAAATTTCCATCATTTGTTTCATAATCAGGAAAACAAAATATATTCGTATAATACTGTAAAAAAATTATAAACAGATTTTTTTAACAGATAATAAAATTAAA